GCACTCACCAAGCGAAACGCAGAAGTAAACCTCTACTTCACGCTGGCATTCTGTGAGGTCGCGGTACCACCCCGGTTCGAGCCGGCCCATGCGTGCGACATCAAAAGCTGCCGCGTGGCCACCTGTTAAACTTACCACTGTTGAAATTGAAAATTAAAATTCCTCTTTTAAGGAATAATGCGAGGAAATGCGGGCCGAGAGACTTTTGAAAATTAGGTATTTCAAGAAACTCACTGTCGCTATGCGAGCGCTCGGCGTCCCATAAGGACAACTGCGAATCGGACTGAATAGCCTAAATAAAAAGGCATAATTCGAGGTTTGGCTCTCTACCATTTCCTCCTCTAACATTGGACTAATTTAAAAGATATTTCATAAAGTTAATAGGAAGGATATAGACTGTGTTCCTATGTTTTTCCGTTTTCAGTATTAGTTATCAAATTTAAACACTAGGCCTCTGTTGACAGCGGTTTAAATAGGCATTTTTAAGCATTTTGTAAGGGTTCTAGTGCTTATAAAGATAATTTATCATCAAAAAGGAAAATATACGGACATAGAAGAGGTAGATATTTATTTTACTGAAAAAAAAATCATTGCTGTAAGGTCATAAACCAGAAAGAAAACAGACGAGAGCGTTTGTATGGAGAAAAGACCACCCGCATTTCCTCATAACTAACTTTATTCAATATGGATGTTGTATTTTATTGCGTGTTTTTAACACATTTATTTATTTATTTACAATTTATTGTATAAAATACCTTTTTTTTAATAGGATAAGGGTGACAAACGAGCACACAGTCCACCTGATGGTAAGTGGTTGCTGCGGCTCATAGACATCTACATCTATCCTCTATTATAAATCAAAATGTAGATGCGTTGTCACCCGTGAGGACTAAGATGAAATGCCTCATTTCCAGTAAAAAGGGCCGCCGGCCACCTGCACTCACCAAGCGAAACGCAGAGGTAAACCTTTATTTCACGCTGGTTTTCTGTGAGGTCGTGGTACCACCCCGGTTCGAGCCGGCCCATCCGTGCGACAGCAAAAGCTGCCGCGTGGCTCTACTACTGTTTAAACCCTAAACCCTAAACAAACAAAGTGTTACAAAGGTCAGAATTAGTGCCTTTTGGCAATTTCTTGCGTTTTTCTTACATAAAACAATTACAAGCAGACACAACACCTGATAGTGGCTTATTTAGTCAATGGACACATGCAGCCAATTTTATATTAAGAAGGATACAGATGCGTTGTCAACCCAAAGGGATAAGATGGAATGTCTCACAGTCTGGAATTATATATCTGATTCTCTGTACCCTCCAGTACAGAGTAATGCAAGTAAAGGTTTTATGTCGATCTAGTGCAAATGGTTTTATCAAACCCCAAACCAAAGATGTCAAGAAGGTTATTCTGGCTTGCTTCTAGGACGGATTAATTATCTTCTCTTCTTCAGTATAAGTTTCTTTTTAGGTTAGTAATTTAAATAGTACTCAAAAGTATACTTTCTTACTTTGTTCTAGTGTTAACAGTAATTAGTATGTAAAATATGATGGGATTGGCATGTCATTTCGACAAAATCTTTAAAAAAAATAGGTAAAAAAGCAATGCTTTTTGGCGGCAGAAATGGGTAAAAGTGTGGTACCTTACTTAGGCCAGTGTGCCACCATCAGCCTCACCAGTGTCTGACAGTAGTGCGTAAATAATGTGATAAGTGCCAAAAATAAAATGGAATATCGTTCTAAATCACAAACATATATTTTTTTTTAAATTTAATGAATAAAATTATCGTTTCAAGTGCATTGCAGCACCTATAGTCATGGATTGATCCCCCCCTCCCCGTAACATTGGCAGTTACTCGTATTAAAAATAATTAACATACGCGATAAAATCCGCAAAGTTCTTTCAATGTGTAGTGTTTGCGTAAATATAATAAATTATTACATATAATTTATGTATTGTTTACAGGTTATAACTGACTATCCCGCAGCTTTCTCACCCTAAGGTAAAATATTTTTTCTTTTTTCATAATAGTATTATTAAGTCTTGATAATTCTGCCTATTCGTAAATCCAACATTTATAATGTGTTTTAATTATTTTACACGTACCTATGTTACACAATAAATATAACAGATCCAATTGCGTGATCAGACAAACAAAGAATGCGTTGCGTACATTTTATGAGACGCCGTATGTATGCTCGACTTCTTCACACATTCACGCACACATCTTCCTTTTTTTTGTTTCTTTGACAGTCTGTAAAAGTCCACTGCCGGACGCAAACTCTCAGCAACTAAACCATGTTTTATACGTGGTAGAGCCATGCTGCAGCTATATTAGTAGTATAATTGTAGCACGAATGGGTCGGCTCGACCGGGGAAGATCACGCTCTCACCGAATACCAGCGTAAAATAGCAACTTAACACTGCTGTCTTTCATATGGTGTGTGTAGAGAACCGGAGACCCTTTTTACTGGATAAGAGGCATTCCATCTTAGTCCTTACGAGTGACAACGCATCTGCATTTTGATTCGCAAACGAGGATAGATGTAGATGTCTATGGGCCACAGCAACCACCATCAGATGGACTGTGTGCTCGTTTGTCACTCGATCCTATAAAAAATGTTGTTACATGAAAATCATTTTAGATACATAATATGTGCGTGATTGCGTTCTTAGTTCTTACAGTAATTTGAGGCCGGCTTTGGCTGGATATCATCATCATCGTTTCAGCCCTTCACAAATCCACCGCTGATCATAGACCTTCCTCAAGGGAAGTCACAAAACACGATCCTGAGCCACCTCCACCCATCTTCTTCGAGTTGGTGCATATCATACCAGATTATCACTTCATTTAGTACAGGGCAACCTTACAATTCGGTTACTAATAAATAATATATCAGATATTTGACCAAGTAATCAAATGCTACTCAATTTTAAGATGTCTTTAAGTCTTGTGCTGTCACCGTCACTTTGACTTAAAGTGATAGAGACAGCACGAGACTTAACGACATCTTAAAATTAAGCAGCGTTTGAGTATTTGGGCATTAGTTATGTAATGATTAAAAATTAAAAATGTTGTACAACCGACTTCAATATAAATTATTAAGAATAACTCAAAATTGGTTAGAACTTGATCAAATTTATATGGGGCCACATATGAAGCACCAGCTTTTAAATAAAAAAGAATCATTGAAATCGGTTCAACCAGAAAGAAGTTATGAGGTAACACACATACAAAAAAGAAAAATCTACAGTCGAATTGAGCACCTCCTCCTGCTTGAAGACGGTAGAAAATTATTCAACCTAATTTTTGTGGTACTCTTGAGATATTAACGTTTCAAATATGGTTCGGTATTTCATCGTAATGGCTCGCTTTGATTTGTTTTTGACTTTGATTTTTATCGATGTTCTTCATCATTATCATCAGCTCTTACGAATTGAATGCGGGACATGGGCGGCTAGTACTGTTGTAGAGAGAATTTGCGCAATCCTCACGCCTGGCAAGCGGGATGACACACTTTTTATTTTAGCGCCATCTATCGGAAGCCACAATATTTTATGTCTTTTCTCATAGTCGCCACTTACGACACCCACGGGACCTAATGAGGTGATGGATTATTTTGCACCGTCACCAAACAGCAATACTATAGAAACAATGTAAACAATGACTATTCATATATTTTTTTTTATAAAAGTGAACTGACAAACTTACAGTCCACCAGATGGTTGGTGGTTACTGCAGTCCGTGAACAACTGCGGCTAAATTCAACCAAAGGAACTAAATTCAACCTAAAAGCGTTGTCACATCTGAAGAAACAGTATGTAATGCTTCAAGCCTTTAATTAAGTGGCTCGATTTACCTTACAGACCGGAACACAGTCCAAGCACTGCTACATGGTACCAACGTAGACGGACTCCTGGGCAGATAAGAAGTCCTATCAGTAGTCATTTACCAGTATGAGTAACATTTTAACAGTTGTGTTTTCACTTTTTATTTAAGACATAAAATTTAACGACCTCTACTTATACAGACTACTTATTTTGCAATATACGCCCAAGATTACAGAGAATGTTCAGAATAAGTATTATAGGCGAATAGTAAAGAAAAATTATTAAAAAAATCTAAATCTTTTAAATTCAGAATGCGTGTTAATGCATTATTTTAGCTTATTGTTACTCATAAACATCTAACGCCTACTATTTTCTTACGCACGCACACATTCGTAAGAGTCGCTCGGTCGGCAAAAACGTTGTGAATTGCATCACACACAAAGGAGCGCGCGTACGCCTAGTTGTGGCCCATGAATCACATTCAATTTGTGATAAATTTAAATAATAGTAGTAGTCTTATTTACTCGAATTTTCAAAGCTGCAATAATATATCATTATTTATATACGTAAATCTAAATATAAAATTTGGATACACTTTGAAAAATAACTGTATATGCGAACTACTCGTCATATGGGTAGTGCCAGAAGAAATAATGTCTAGGTATACCTGGGTTTACTGAAAATGTGTGAAGTTAATTATGGGTAAAATTCGAATAACTTATATCTTATGGGTAATGCCCGAAGCAACCGTACCTAACCTACTTCCTGTTATTTATTCTGTGCCTATGGTCGCTGATATTACTTGATATGTGTTTTCGTATTTTTGTCAAAATTAAAATAAGTCATAGTATTTAAATTATTATCCAGACTTTAATCTTTCTTTATTGTTCATTTTCTTTTAAAAATATTTAAAACTAGTTTGAGAGTAACATTTTTACCACTTTTTACGATTTACTCTTGTATCGTGGTGGCAGTTCCTACCTAGTTTTACCCGAAACCACACCTAATTTTAGCCATGAATAAAATCGAATACAGCTAAGTTTAACAAACCACAATCAGCTGTATCTGTAAGTAGTATACACAGCACTTTGGCTTCTACTCATAGTAATACATATAAAGTATAAAAATATAAACACCACCAAGTATTTTAACTTTAGATAACATATTTGTTATTAAATTAAGCTAATCCAGCAGACTCATATATACTGTTCCAAAATTTCAAATATTCCGCATCTAGCGCTTTTCCGGGAACCAACTTCTCGCCTATATCCAGATATGCCCCTGTAGCTCCGTCGTATTCGGGCCATATTGCGCCAAGCGAGGAATCAGGAGTTGGGTTACTGCAAAACAAAAAATTTTAAGATCGTAAAACTTATTTTACTAATTCAAAAAATAAAAGTTAACAGTTTCATCGTGTTTGAAAATTTGAAAAATTTCATTATCATTATCATCATTACGGCCGAATACAAGTCCACTGCAGAAGGTAGGCCTCTCACGTTGATTAGTACAATGCACGATCCTGAGTCACCTCCATCCTCCAACTTCCAGAATGTTTCATCAGATCTTCATCTTATCTACTGGGCGGTAGCCCAGCACTGCGTTTTATTACAAGTCGACCAATTTTTATTGTAACGAGTAATTTGGGACAGACTAAACCATTTTCATATAAAAAATATAGGTACGTCGTATCCTGGATTATTATCTACAATATTGCCAAATTTAATCAAAATCCGTTCAGTAGCTTTTAAGTGATTAAGCCACAAACATCCAAACAAACTTTCACATTTATAATATTAATAGGAAGTAGAATATTATAAAAATATTATTTCCAATTATTATGAAATAGTTTTTTTAAAACGTCACGACGTAAGAGAATCCACTAACCCCTTATCATCCCGTGGGTTTCGTAAAAGGTAAAAGAGGGTTTTGTATGACTTGACAGAGGGATTATGTGATCTATAATCTCGCCGTAACCTATATTCAGTCCGGAGGTATTATTATTATATGATTGTAATAACACCATCAAACTTATAAATATATTATTAATAATTAAATCAAATATCAACTCACCCAAATTTCGCAAAGTTTGTAAACAAGGCACACGTCTGTTGAATCATCTTATAAGTCGAACTACTTTTGTCCACCTTTAAATTGAACATTTTTGCATCAAACAAATGCATCAAATCGTCTAGATGTGCCGCGCCAGTTATACCATATTTGGAACCTTGATTGCCATAAATATTCCTCTCAGAGACGCATGAGAATTTGTACATGTATATCTTCATACCTTTTTTTGGGAGAAGATTTACGTATTTATGTACATCGGGTAGGAAGCAACAATGAGATGCGTATTGGACAAACTCTTTCATACAGTCAACGCTTATTGGTTTATCTCCAAAGTAATATTTATGGATTCTATCTGATATCTCTAAAATAGTGCTCGTGGGGCATTTCAGCAAAATCTTCTTCGGCACGAGCATTTCGCTGAATCTATTATAGGTTTTTATTAAATTATTTTCAAAAGCTTGCAAACCAACTGCAGCTTCCTGGCTTGTATATCCTATCATAATGTCTACATCGTTAACGCTGCCATTTTTCATCGCTTCCTCAGGATCTTCTGTTAGAAAATGGTCGAGACCAAAATCTTTCTCCACGACTGGCGTGAAATGATATAGTTTTAGTAGATTACCAGTCGACAATTCTTCAGATGACACCACAGAAGGATTTACATTAACCAGTCTTTCTATTGGAATATTTTGTAAAAATTCGACCAGCTTTTCGGTATCAGTAGTGTCTATTCCTAATTGCTTTCCAAGAACAAATGCTTTTCTTTTTGGTTCAAAAGCGATTGACCAATCGCAAAATGGTACACCACTCATTGGAATAGCCCTTTTAAAAAGGCCTTTTGACATAGGTGATAAAACATGTAATGCTGTGGACGCACCTCCTGCACTTTCACCGAAAACAGTCACGTTGTTTGGATCACCTCCAAAGATAGAAATGTTACGTTTCACCCATTTGAGTGCAGCCACTTGATCCTTCATTCCTGCATTACCTGGGACCTCCTTTGTATCTAAACAAAGAAATCCTAGTACTTCGAGCCTGTAGTTTATCGTTACAACGACAACGTCTTGGGAAACGAGAAAATCTGGTCCATAATGATCAACATTTCCTGAGCCGCTTTTATATCCGCCTCCGTGGATGAAGAACATTACTGGCAGTGGTTGCTGGGGCTTCAGGTTTGGTGAATAAACATTTAAATAAAGACAATCTTCTGAACCAGGAATAAATTGATTAGTGAATATGTCTTGTTGTATACAAACAGGTCCGTGTTCCGTGGCCTTTCTTACTCCCTTCCATGGTTCTGGAGGTTGAGGAGCCTGAAATATAAGAAAAATAAAATTAAAATATTTTTTTTACAAAATAAGGGTGGCAAAAGAGCACACAGTCCACCTGATGGTAAGTGGATTCTGTAGCCCAGAGACATCTACATTTATCCTCAATTAAAAATCAAAATGTAGATGCGTTGTCACCCCTGAGGACTGAGATGGAATACCTCAATTCCAGTAAAAAGGGTCTCCCATTTTCTACACTCACCATACGAAACACAGCAGCATTAAGCTGCTAGTTTACGCTGGTATTCTGTGAGAGCGCGGTCCTTCTGCAGCCGAATTGACTCATTCACACTACAACTATATCATAGCTGCAGCTTGGCTTTACCACGTACAATTAACGATTAATTAATCATCTCCTTCCGATTTTAAGCACACTAACGCGAAACTACGCTCACGCTAAACTAAACGAACTGAAGTACCATATCAGCGACACAATCAGCAACAACGTTGAGACCAATCGGGGAGAAGCAAGCCCGCTCCCAAGGGAGGATGCAATAAAATACCGCATCCCATCCCAATCGGCCGACCTATAGTGCCAAACACGGCGGCAAGCTGCAGATCGCAACTGCGATGGGAGCGTGAGTGGCACCGTACTCCTGAATCCGGATCAGACAATTGTCCGAAGAGCCAAGAGGGACATCGACGGAGACCTGATATCCGTCCGGATGAGAGGTCAGCAGAAGGTCCAACAGGGGAGATACATGATCCGACACATTTGGGATCCCCGTAGGCGAAGTAACCAGTTGTGTTAGAACATATGCCAAGGCAAAGTCATAAACAGATCTACCCGCATGTTCGTTTAAACGGGAACCAAGCCATTCAGCGTGGTGGGCGTTAAAAATACCGAGCATCACGATCTCTGCGGATGGGACCTGTTGTTGCACGGAGTCTGCATGGTCTATGTCGGCATTACTGCTATGGAACCTATAGAGGCACCCGTAGACAAGGAGATGGTCGTCGCTGTCTACGTGCAGCCACTGGATGTGTGCAGGCCCGTACCTTCAAGACTGCGCCGAAAACAGATGTCCTCTCTGACGCACACGCAAACTCCTGCCCGGGGCAAAAGGGAGAGCTTTGCCGTCGCCAGATGGTAGACGGCGTTAAGGTTTGTATGGAGTTCCCTGATATTGCATAAATTCACGGAAAGCGTGGCAAGGGTTGTCTTGAGTGGAATTTCACCCCCCCCCCCCTCCTAAAGACACGGAGTGCCTGGGGTATTGTTCTATTTAACTACCATGTTAGGGGGGGATTGGGCCTCCGGCCCTCTGCACTCACCTGGCGAAATGCAGAAGTATACTTCTACTTCACGCTGGTATTCTGTGAGGTCGTGGTACCACCCCGGTTCGAGTCGGCCCATCTGTGCGACAGCAAAAGCTGCCGCGTGCCATTGTTAAACCACCCTTTCAACTAGGAAAACCATACTCGTTTCCCCCGCGAGAACACTTTTCAAATAGGAAGAAAGAACAAAAGTATATACTAATTATACAGTTATAAAATTTCGAAGAAGCCGTAACATCATAACAACCTGTTGATCCCAAACTTGTCATGATTGAGCGTCTTACATTTGCAAATAGCCAGAATTTCACAACAACATTTAGGTTACTCGTAAACATGTTATGATGTATAATGTAACAGAAGATACTGACTCTTATCAAGTTGTAATACTTTCGGTAAACAGACATGTTTTGATCATCCTATAAAAGTTATGGTATTTAGAATTAGTTATTAGTTACACTCCTCATCGAAGTAATATAACTTAATTAAACTAACATAACACTACACAACTTCACAGTAACTTTTTCACTGAATTAGTTTTTATTAATTATTGTACTGGAATAGTAACTCCATCTTAGTCCTCACGGGTGGCAACGCATCTGCATCTTGAGTCTTTATTGATCAAAATAACTTTTTAGCTGATTTTTCTTAATAATTTCTTATATTTACGCGAAAACTACACATTGAATAAAACTACTTTTACGAATTTCTATCGCGGTTAATTGTTCTTATTTTTAATTCCCGACGTTTTGGGTGTCACCCATGGTCACGGGGGACTGAGGTGGTCGATGTCCTGATATCAGAGTTAACCCGGCGTGTGAAGGTAGGCGGGTTAACTCTGACATCGGGATCTTTTTAATTATTAGTTTTGGTCGAATCTACGCAGAATGAACTTACTTTTTCTTGAAGTCTTGCAGTGGTATGCTTTGGTATCCAGCCTACCCCTCTATTGAAATTAGAAAGTTTTCTACCGACTTCAAAAAGGAGGAGGTATTCAATTTGACTGTATGATTTTTTTTTGTGTGTTACCTCATAAGTTTTTTCTGAGTGAACCGATTTCGATGATTCTTTTTTTATTTGAAAGCTGATGCTTCTCATGTTGTCCCACATAAATTTGATCAAGGTCATTGATGATTTTTTTGAGTTATTCTTAATAATGTATATTGAAGTCGGTTGTACAAAATTTTTAAATTTAATTATAATTTCTATAGCTCTCTTTGATTTTTCTCGTTGACCGAATATTAAAGTATATATAATTTAATGATTTACCGCTTTTAAAAATCTTTAGCATCGCTACAACAATATACAAATTTATAAAAATGACATGAACATAAAAATGACTTTGTCCATCGTAAGTAATGTCAAATATTTAAAATTAATAATTTTGTACAACTGACTTCAATACGTATTATTAAGGATAACTTAAAAACTATTGGTCAGACCTTGATCAAATTTATATGGGACCACATGAGAAGCACCCAAATATTTCAAATAAAAAATAATAATTAAACAATCATCGAAATCAGTCCACGTACTCGTAGAACAAAGTTATGAGTTAACACACATAAAAAAAAACATACAATCGGATTGAGTACGTCCTCCATTTTGAATTCGTTAGAAAAAGGTCATCACTTAGACTGAGTTGCAGAAAAACACAAATATTCTGAATGACCTATGTCTTGGAGAATACACACGCAAGTCTTTGGATTGCAAAGGTGCAATAAAGATAAATAAGAAATGAGATATTTATCAGAAATAAGATTTAAAAAAGGTAAATAACAATTAATATATTTCGAGTCGAATTCGAGATATAAAATAAGCTGCAAACAATATTCATAATGCGTTTTACAATTATCAGAGTGCGATAAAAAATACTAACGACCTTATAGTCATTTATTATCGATTACATAAATTAAGTAACTATTAATCATCTCTATACTTCTCTCTTTCTATTGTCATTTAAATAAGAAAGAGAGAAAGATAGAGAGAGTGAGAGAGAGCAACTCTAATGTTACCGTTACAGACTATTAAAGTCCACTGCTGGACATAAGCCTCCCCCCTAGATTGCCTCATAGGGGGGATATTTGCCTTTGTTGCCACTTTGTTGTCTTTTATTTTTAATCGTAGTAATTTATTTTATTACGTGGTAGAGCCAAGCTGCAGCTATATTAATAGTATAGTTGTAGCACAAATGGGTTGGCTCGACCGGGGCAGGACCACGCACTCACGGAATACCAGCGTAAAATAGTAGCTTAATGCTGCTGTGTTTCGTATGGTGAGTGTAAAGAACCGGAGACCCTTTTTACTGGAAAAGAGGCATTCCATCTTAGTCCTCAATGCTGACAACGCATCTGGATTTTGATTCGCAAACGAGGATAGATGTAGATGTCTATGGGCCTCAGCAACCACTTACCATCAGTTGGACTGTGTGCTCGTTTGTCACCCTATTTCTATAAAAAAAATCCTTATTAGGAGAATGCTAATATGATATTCTTCAAAATCCGAACTCAAGGAATCACAGAACTACACGCTGTCAAAGAATACCAGCGTAAAATAGCAGCTTAAAGCTGTTGCGCTTCGTATATATAAGACCCTTTTTACTGGAAAAGAGGCATTCCATCATAGTTCTCACGGGTGCCGACGCATCTGCATTTTGATTCTTTATTGATAATAAATGTAGATGTCTATGGGTCACAGCAACCACTTACCATGAGGTGGCCTGTGTGCTCGTTTGTATCGTAGGTAACGCATGAATTTCTGTTGTTTAGTTTAGTCTTTTTATATAAACCATACTTGGGCACAGTACTCAACAGCGGGGGGGGAGGGGGGGGGGGGGGGAGAGCGTATATATATATATATATATGAAGTGAACAATATAAGATTATAATGAGTTCTATACTTCCAAATCGTTAAATAAATCGTTTGATGAATCCCATTATTTTTAGCTTTTTTTTTGTTTTTTCCCCATTGACTTTTTTATATAGGAGAGGGGGCAAACGAGTATGCGGCTTACCTGATTGTAAGTGACTAACGCCGCCCATGAACAACTGCAACACCGGAGGAATTGCAGATGCGTTGCCGGCCTTTTAAAAAGGAGTGGGCTCTTTTCTTGAAGGTCCCTAAGTCTTAATGCTACCTAATCACACGGTTTGCTAACTATCAGGAAGAACAGAATTCAATCCTGCTAATAAACAAATGCTAAAATTAAAAATTTTGTACAAACTTAAATAAAATGAGAACATCATTAATGTAGTCGAAGTCAATTAATTACGTATTATTAAGGACGACTCAAAAACTACAGGTGAGATCTTGATCAAATTTATATGGGACCACATGAGAAGCACCAGCTTTCAAATAGAAAAAAGAATAATCGAAACCGGTTCACGTAGAACAAAGTTATGAGGTAACACACATTAAAAAAAACATACATTTAAATATAGTACTTCCTCCTTTTGTTGAAGTACGTAAAAAATTATAAACCAACCGCTTTAATTTTTATGCCTTTAGAATTCTTACCTGAAATCTTAGTTTTCCCAGCGGTGGTGCAGCGTAAGGAATTCCTTTAAAGCTGAAGTAACGTTTGTCACCTGTGACAGCTTCCAGTTCTTCACCTTCCAGCAACCCTTGTTCCACTTTTACCTGCACCATTGCTCCGATATTTTTTTAAATTAACGTCAACGCACAGATAATATTTACTATTCTTAACACTTATGTTTACTTGTAAAACGTCCGAATGCAACGAAGGTTAACGGCACACTTGTTTGTTGTTCGTAGCGGTAAAACCGGTTCACTAATATTGTTACGTTTCGCGAGAAAATTACTAATTTATAGAAATAAAATTTCAGGGTCTGTTTGTAATATCTTTTTTTGTTTTTTTTTTTGTGTTTTAGTTGTCTACTTCTGGTTACTTTACTTAGCCATGGTTACCTTTTTTATAGGATAAGGGTGACAAACGACCACACAGTCCACCTGATGGTAAGTGGTTGCTGTGACCCATAGACATCTACTTACGAGTACATTTTTATCCTCGATTACGAATCAAAATGCAGATGCGTCGTCACACGTGAGGAGTAAAATTGAATGCCTCGGTTCCAGTAAAAAGGGCCTCCGGTTCTCTACACTCACCATACGAAACACAGCAGCGTTAAGCTGTTATTTTACGCTGGAATTGCCTATAATTATGATAAAGCTTGTTTGAATATTCCGTTCTAAGATTAAATGTTTTTTTTTTAATTACAATTCGTTAAATTTACATCTTGTTGGTATGTAAATAAATAAAGAAATAAATAACGAGGAAAATGACTTCTATTGAGCTGGTGGGGTTATTTACATGCAGGAAATGAATATTTTTAAAATGTTTGCATGTCTGTCTGTCTGTCCGTCTGTCTGTCTGTCCATATGTCTGTCTGTCCGGACTAATCTTTGGAATAGCTGAACCGATTATAATGAAACTTGAAAATCAGAAAGAAAGAAATGGCAGGAGTGATCAAGGTTATAATTTGTTCGAAAAACTTGAAGTTTTTTTTTTGTAAGTAACCGAAAAATTAATAAAATAAAATGGTCTTTGATAACTATCTTATATCTAAATAATACCACATTGATAGATCCTATATAGGCGAAGCCGGGGCGGTTCGCCAGTTCTAAATATGTTGTAAGCGTGCATGTACCTAAACAACTTAGCGAGTTCTTTAAATAAACATATCTAGCAGTGGACTAAATAAGACTGAGACTAAATAAGGCTACATCAGCCATTTAGTCCATTGCCACACTAAAGAGAAAAAAAAAACTTTTTCTGCAGACTTTAAAAAACGAGACGGTACTCAATTCGACTGTATGTTTTTTTATGTGTGTTACCTCATAACTTTTTACAGGTTAAACTGATTTCAGTGATTCTTTTTTTATTTGAAAGCTGGTACTTCTCATGTGGTCCCATATGAATTTGATCAAGGTCAGGCTAATAGTTTTTGAGTTATTCTTAATAACTTATATTGAAGTCGGCTGTACAAAATTTTTAATTTTAAATTATGTGTAAATAAATATGGGAGCTAAATTGAACGTGTGGAATTTGACAATCAATGTTAAATTTCGTGAAGACTGGCGCCTCGACTAAGGGACTTTTTTCGTGTCAAATACTCCGTTAAAGCCGAGAACACAGATTAACTATCAGTGAATCAATTTTAGTAATATGACAAAGAGAGTCCTGTTGACGTGTTAAGCGTACTATTATCGTTTAGTCCAACTGTTTTGTTAAATTGTGACGCATAACAATTGAGCGTTCCTGCGAAGTTTAATTGGGAACCACTTGAGCTGCTTGCGAAATTGAGATATCCGGTGTAATTTACTGAGCCTCAAAATAATAAATTAATATGACGGCTCTGTGGCGTAGTGACTTAGAAATTAGTTGCAGCGCTAAGGGCCGCGAGTTCGACTCCCGTATGGAAAAAGTATGATGCAACCTGCAAATAATTCGTCGTTGACGCCGCAAAGGAGCGAACCTCAATTTTCAAAAAATTACAGGAGAGCAAGAAAGCATTTATAATTCCTCGATTGCTCGCTTTTTTCATCAAAAAATTTATTAAATTTCCTGATGAAAAAAGCGAGTAATCAAGTTCGAGAATGAAACTTCGAGAATCGACGAATCGTTCCGGGTCTAGATGTTTGTCATTATTAAATTTATGTATGTCAACTGCCCCCACTATTCGGGACAAAATCCTAGTTTCGGGAGGTAACGTTTTTTTCTGAGATAAAAAATATTGACCATAAAAATATAAAAAATATACATTAATATTTATAATGAGGTTTTCTTAAACTGGGCGTAAAGGTTACGTTTCTAATTTTTTAAATATTTAAATTAGATTTAGGCGAGTTCAAAATCCGTTCGTTTATTAAATGTAAATGAATTTTAAGGAAAGGTTGTTTAATTGCGTATTTCCTTTCTTGCTACACTGCATACACTCCCCATTTTAGTGCTGTTAATAATTGTAAAACGGAAGTATATACACAAACGCACGTAAATAAACCGATACATTAAAAAATTTATAAAATAATTATATCATTATTATTATGTATATTAGTACTATATATATTTTTTTTAAAGTATAGGGTAACAAACGAGCACACAGTCCACCTGATGGTAAGTGGTTGCTGGGGCCCATAGACATCTACATCTATCCTCTATTACAAATCAAAATGCAGATGCGTTGTCACCCGTGAGGACTAAGATGGAATGTCTCATTTCCAGTAAAAAGGGCCTCCGGCCACCTGCACTCACCAAGCGAAACGCAGAGGTAAACCTCTACTTCACGCTGGTATTCTGTGAGGTCGTGGTACCACCCCGGTTCGAGCCGGCCCATCCGTGCGACAGCAAAAGCTGCCGCGTGGCTCTACCACTGTTTACACTCACCATACGAAACACAGCAGTGTTAAGCTGCTATTTGACGCTGGTATTCTGTGAGAGCGTGGTCCTTCCCCGGTCGAGCCGACGACCCATTCGTGCTACAACTATACTACTAATATAGCTGCAGCATGGCTCTACCCCGTAAAGATTATATTACATTATATTATTATAATAAAAGATTAAATTAAATGTTGCTTCACATATGGTCCCATATAAATTTGATCACGGCCTAAACAATAGTTTTTGAGTTATTCTTAATAATTTATATTGAAGTCGGTTGTACAATTTTTTTAATTTTATATTATATACCATTTACTGTCATTTTCATTACAATAACTATCTGTAGCAAGCTATTTGTCCTCCTACTCCCGATCAGAGATAGGTCTGTAGTCATTACTTGGTAAAAATATTTTGTTCTTGGTGTTATAACAATGTGTTAAGAAAACCTATTTAGCTGTTTTCAACAGCATGCAAATGTCTAAAAGTTTTTATAATATAATTATCTCTCCTCCCTCTTATAATTGTCTCTCCCATAGATCGCAATTTTTACTATGTAAAGTTGTTATCAGGAAGATGCTGCTGCCCATCTTCTGTTTTAGTTTCCCTAGGTCGCTTCTTACGACACCCGCGGGGCGATATGGGGTAGATGATATTCTGACAACGCCACTACACGGTTTTATCGCGGTGCGTCAATCTACTGAGTTTATTGGGAAAATGAAAGATCGGTTTAGCTATCTTTACTAGCCCAAAACAAGAGATAATATATTGAATTTTGGGGGCGGCCGTTGGAGACTAGGATAACCCAATTACTTTATCTTCGAGTATTTTTTATGTTTATCGATAAGTAAGTTTATAATTTATTTAATCAATCTGGAAACTTTTATCTATAACAACTCAATTACTATCATCGCTTAGCCGTCTTTTAAAAACATTTTATCTTTCATATTTTTCGTAAAGAAAGCTTTTGTACTCTTAATTAACTTATTTTTGTCTTAATAATAGCTGCAGTATTTTATTTTTACAAAACCAATTAAGTATACCGGAGTTTCACCCAAAATTTATGTTTATGTTTCTAATATTTCAACCTTCCTCAAAACATTGCATCACTGTTGCCATATCATATTATCTTTGACAGTCTCGTTGGTATAGTGGTAGTAAGTGCTCCCTGAGGTCACAGGTTCAAATCACACGTCCAGGATAAGTTATTAGGTTTTTTTTTGTCAAGAAATTGTCAGTAACAACCTCGAGTCAGAAAGTTGGCGGTTTTTTACCTTTATTATAACGTTGGTCCTGCACCTGACCTCGCAGGTCGCAACAGTTTGCTGTCCCATTGGACTATTAGTAATGGAATAGAGAGTGCATCTGTGTATGCATTATTTTTAAATTTATTTAATGAAAAAAGAACACACACATTATAAACATAAAAACATCACAAAAACCCTCACGGGTTTGTCTGGATGTTGAGACACTTTTGAGCAATCTGTTGACATTAGTTTATACATAATATTATAATGCTTTATAAGAACATCAAAAATACAATATTAGCAGTTATTGGTACATTGTTTACACAGAAGCGGACGTTAAGGCGCAGGTTGAGCAAAATGTCGCGCTAGTCGTTATTTGTGCTGTTTCTAGGAGCTATCTACTTTTTATTTAAAAGATATATCAACAAATGAAAAACACATTATATTTCTACATAATCTTGATTCCATAAAAGCTATATCCAATTTTTTTTAAAGGAATAAATATTAATATAATCTCCTTACAACGAAACCACATAAATGTGAAATTATTATTGATAACATGCATCTCCTCGTAAAGTAAGTATTATTTTATTTTGCGATTTACACCAATGGATAGGCAATTTATTAATGTACATTTCTATAGTAAATTTTTTTTAAAAAGACCAAAATTTGATTTTATTAAGAATTTATTTTAAAATCTGGGCATATTCACTGCTCACGGGCTTGTTGAAGTCAGTGAGCCCTGAGCTCTTCGACGCGAAGCCCGTGTCGTTAGAGCGTCGACCAGCACATACACTCACGTCATATTAGTCGATAATAATATTACTTATTAGGTTATTTATAGGTAGTATTATTTGTTTGTTTTGGGTATAATTTTTCGTATTAGTTATACATATATTTGTTGTGTTTTTTACTGCGCGATGAAGCTTTTTGCGTGTATTTTCTTTGAAGTAAATGCAAATACTCTCCTCCTAACTCCTACTCCCATGGCGTTGTCCCGAACTCAT